TTCGAGAAAATCAAGTTTAAAGTTATTTGTACTTATATTATAGTATATACATATATTTATATAATACTATTATACTCGTAATCATATCATCGCTGTTCTTGTATTCGAATGGTAAAAAAAACTTTTTTTCATTTGATAGTAAAGAGACATAATTGTGTTAACAGCGGTTGTGGACGCTTGTACCTATATACTTTTAATCTATTATAGTATTTTAATTTGAAAACTATTTCTTAGTATCTCATACTAGATCGCAATACATGACGAATAATTCACTTATACTTTTTTGCCATAAAATAAAATCGAAAATTCATAGTTAAGCTGTGTACCTCATATCTATTTGCTAACCGCAGGAAGATTTCTGGTAGAAAAGTTATTCACACACCGCAGTAAAATCAATACATTCCATACCCTAGTTTTCGCTCAGAATCTAAAAAAAAAAACACTAACAAATTATTGCATAAATTATATTATTAAAGATTTCTACTAACCTATATAGCCTATATTGGTTTCTTCGGCATTTCTTTTTAAAGGCCACGTGTGTTCCCAACTAACGGCTACTTCGATGCTAGCTAAATTTTTACTGTAAACAGGTAGGTAAAAAATAATTATAATGCACCAAAAATCATAAAATTATTATTTCGTATTTTTTTGTTTAACCCTTAAATAGATCCTGTAATTTTAGTGGATCTCCACTCGTTCCTATCCATCATAGTGACATTCAGATATTTGTAAGTTGTTTTCTCTATTTTATTTACTACCTGTTTCATAAATAGAGTTCTTATTGGTCTACCTTTTTTTAAATTTTTCCCTCTATTTTTTACTCCAATATTTTCGCTAGTTATTTACTGTTTATCATTGTTTTTATCCATTGTTTCCTCCTTTCCCTGATTATTTTCTATATTGGAAAATATTGTTCATACATTCTTAAGTATACGTATTTGTTTTTAATTTTCTTTGTCTAAGGAATTTTCAATATTTTTCTCCAGCTCCATATTTTAAATACTTCGATCCGTTTCCTTATCTTTTTATCCTATTAAAACCATACGTATTATCATGGTATTTAGATAAAACATATTTGCCATGAATTGATTTTTTTTCTGGTACAATACCTGTTTTGCTTGTACTATTCTTTATGTTGTTCTCGCTTTTTCCATCATATCTCATTTTACGTTCAAAATATGTAAAACATTGATATGTTTCTAACTTTCCATTTTAAATTATTATTTTTCAACATGATTATTACAGTGTATTAGTATTTCGGTTTTGTTTTTTTTCATTTTGATGTTAAATATTATAATAACGTTGGTTAATTAATTACAATATTTTATATCCATAACATATATCCAACAATATGAATAGGATTATTGTTTTAAGTTATGAAATAACATCTACAATTTACATCGATAATAAATAATGATATTACCAATTATAATACAGTATTATTGTCTTTAGTTGTTTGTATTACAAATACTTGTCACGCTATCAGAAATAATCAGAATAAATAAATAATATTTTCATTGTTTAAATGTATTCGTATATTTTGTTATTGAATACTATTAAAATTTATAAAAAGGTAAGTATGACGACAAGACCGGATTATATTTAGAGGCTCTAGAGAAAAAATTTTCTTTAGTTTTCATGATTTAAAGATGTTTCTCAATAAAAAAAGAAACACCGGAATGTTTTGAAAGTTATGTTCTTTAAATATATTCTGAAAGTTGCAGGTTACTACGATTACTAAACCGAATAACAACAAAAAGCAAAGTCAAAAATAATGTAACCATTATCACCGTAAACGTCCCATTTTTCTAAGTATTTTTGTGTTTTTCCAATTACTAAGAAAACTACAAGGAAAATCAAAAATCGATCAACTACATAGTATTTTTTTTCAGAAAAAATGTTAATCTTGAAATCCGGAACAAGATTTTTTGTGGAAAAATAAAATTTAACAAATTGAAAATTTACTATTTGGTGACTATTCATTTTTGTGGGTACTCGTACCTCATACAATTATTTTTCGTTGAAAATTGATATTTTCTGTACATTATTAAAATACATTTCTATATATTTTTTTTTTTTTGAACATGTAGTGATACGATCTTTTTCATGGGCAATGCTGGGAAAAATTCTCCGTTAGATAATGCTATTATAAATTAACTAAAATTGATAAAAATCAAGATAGGTACGACCTTTCTCGCTGTGGCAGGCGATATATTTTAAGAAAAAAAATCCATCACATTATATTATATAGTAATAAGAGATCTCAATTTAAAAGCCACAAGTATCATTAAGTAAAGGTTAATGTATTTGTAAAAAAAAAAGTTGCTATATTAGTAGGCCATCGTACATTACATGAATGGTTAGGAGTAGTATCAAAATACAATGTTAACGATGGCTAATTACATAGTTAAAACATATAATGTGGTAAAAACTGGGGCCCCTGGAGTCTTGTGGCACCTTAATCCGGACTTGTACACCGATAAACTCTAAACAAGTCTGTGAAGTTTTAGCATTCAAAAAGCTTATACAAATATTATATAAGCAAACGTTTAATACTAATATATAATACTCAGTTGAATTTACGATAAAATACTTATAAAATAGGTAGGCATCTAAAAAAAAAAAATATTGAACTACTAAACATTTAAAATAAATTAGTTATTTTCGTAAATATGTGGCGAAATTATTTTTATAAATTAAATTCACCCCACGGAACAAAAGGAAAAATGCAAATGATAAAAGTTCACAGTTCTTTGTATTTATATACTTATGTTTTTCTTTTAAACAATATGGTAAAAGTGAATATTATTGTTGTGTTTATTTTGTCGATTCGACGAAATATTAATATAATATTGTGTATGTTTTAATATTTACAAAAATTGAAATACAGTTCCCTACCTGTCAGCCGATTTGAATGTTTTATAATTGTTTATGTAACTGAAGTTTTTGGGCACTATCGAGTAAGCTAATGTGTAGTCAACGTCCGTACAGGATGGCAAACATTTGCATGTCTGGAATCCTCCCTCTGTAAGAACTATATAATAAGAATAGTATTATAATTTATAACTTAGTTTTTGCAAAGTCGAGTAAATCTTTCATACTGCATGTCGTTTTTTCGTTGTTTGTGAACTGTATAAATACAAAATACTATATAGCTACGTTGTTAAAGTTTAAATGCATTAGTTTTCTACGAGAAAAATACTATTCAATCAAACATAACAATACAAACAAATCCGGATATCGGATTTCACAATTCGGGTTTCTTATTATTTTTTTTTTAAATCCGAATATAAATTTAAAAAATAAATAATCTCTATATATCAAAACAGATTTACAACTGTACAATTAGTCAATATAGATATTTCATAAATATATTTGATTTATTAGTACAAGTAATATAATATCTTAATTATTGTGATTTGATTATTAAAGAAAATTTTAAAAATACGCCCTAGGATAATGGGGTTGGATGCAGCCACTGTTATAGGTAATTTAATGTATATCTTTAAGCAATGATAAACTATTGCTAACGAAAAAACGATTCTGAGCAGAGTTTAGTTGATAATGATGCTCTGTCAACAATATTTATGTCATATTATGGTAAAATAATTAAATAGGCATTGTATATTTTCTTCAATAATATTTGTTTAATATTGCACTGATTTTTCCGTTTTTCCCGGTTTTCCCATGTTTTTTCCCGGTAAAAGGGGGAAAAAATTTAAAAAATTTAACCATTCAACTACAACAAACATCCTTTAAATAAGACAATATTTAGTTATTTAACATAACATATAATATCTGCATATTATAAGAAATTTAAAAAGCTATAATTTCGAAACTTAGTCAATCCACTCAATTCTGACTTCATCTTATATATGTTCATTAAAAACAAAAATTTAAAAATTAAATTCATTCCACATTTTTTACCGAACGATTTTCGTCAAAATTTTATATTAAATTTCCTTTATAAAAAAAAAAATACTGCATTTAACTCAAATTTTCTTTTTTCGACCACAAAGTAATATTCTTAAAAAACATCCCATTACATTTTCAAGCATTTCTGTTAAGTCTAACAATTTTACCACAGAGTATCTACTAAATAAAAATTACGTACAAAACTCGCAAAATTAAAATGTCCATATAGTTTAAAAATGGCTGAATTTTTTGAAAATTGTATCACATCTAGAAAAGACAAACATACATTTTCTGTTTAAATTTTAAGTCCATAGAGTCGATAGGAATATTTTTAACTTAATTTCACAAAAATATTAAAATTTTTATAAAAAGCTTAAAATGGCTCAGTTTATTCGTTAATTATTAGTTAATAACACTTCAATACTCGTTATTTGTCTCTAAAAAAAAAAAAATTAAAAAAGCTATGAGGAGGGAGACCTATTCTCCATAACCGCCCCCCTCCCCCCGTGAATACACCCATGTTTATATCTAATATATAAGTATTACTTGATTATTTTTTTTATAATACATAATACATCCATTTTTAGTACAAAATTACGATTTCTACAAATTAAAAATCTCTTTGAATATTTTTAACTGAATTATGACAAAAAACAAAATTGAAAAATAATAAAATCATTATTTTCGTGAATTTTCCGTTTTTCTTACGTTTTATCTTGGTTTTTCCCAGATATTATGAAAACCGCATGACAAATCAAAAAAGGACCTCCTAAAAGTACCACCTGGACAACATTACCTTTCAGAAATGGTACCGTGAGTAAATATCTGAGCAAGATATCTGGTAGAATTTTTGTACACAGTATATATATATATATATATATATAAAAAAATAAACATCCTAGTAAAGCCAATATATTCTTCGATACAATCAGAATCTAAAATGCGAAATAGAATCTGAAATCATAGTTTTAAAATCCGAAATCTGTATAATATACAATTAATTTCAATAATCTAGATTCTCGAGCTATTGTATAGGTAAGTTAACCTAACCTAACTTAGCAAATATAGTAAGTAATAATTTATTTTTAGAAATTATTGAATATTTTACTTGCAGCACTGGCTTGACAATTGTGCAGATTTGGTCCGCACACAGGAAAAGAACTATCTGTAAAAAGAAAAAAAAATCATGTTGTAGGTTACAGGTATACCGGTATATACCTAATAACGTATACTCGTATGTAATTACGAGACGTAATTTCAGCTATTACCGGTAAAGCGATAAATGATAAAATTACGATTGTAATTAATTTTTAGTTGTAAATTGAATTAACGCGAGTATCAAATTCCATATTATAATATTTAGTAGTTTTTTTGATTTTTAATATTTATTTTGCGCAATGTTTATCGCGTTATTTCAATGACCGAATTTCAAAAATTGAACCCAATAAATTAGTCATTACTCGTAATGTTATTGTTTACCTATAATAATATTACAACATAGTTTGGTAAACAATAATGTTGATAACGGACTGACGTCTGACGCAGGTGCCTAACGTCAACTCGAATCGCCCCCTACAATATCCGATGAATAGGCACACGCCAAATGCGATGCACGTATAAAATACCTATTTTATCGCGATTCGCTCGTATTATGTAAATGCGATTTTGAAAAATACATGATACAACTACAATAGGAAAACTGAGCCGTTGTTTTGATCGTGTTTAACTTTTTAAGGTGTTGTTCAACGTGCATACTTATTCTGTACATAGGAACGCAACCGCACAGACTCTCGGTATTATTCAATTGACATTCGACATAACAATTGGTGTACGTATAGATTGTGTTGTATTTCAGCCGTTTCTCGTTCGAATAATAACATCCTCGTTTTTCGGGCTCCCAACTTTTTATGCTGTCGTCCGTCAGAGTCACGTGAGTGGTGATCTGAACGAAACTGTGGGTACTCTTTGAGAATTTTATAGAATCATGCGAATAATCCGGAACGTCCGCCGGACTGTGAAAATAAACCTGAAACAAAGGTACCAAAGGCAATCTATAATCGTTTTATTTTTTTATTTTTTATCGGAAGTATATGGTTAATATATGATTTTTTCGAACGCTTTTGTAAGCAGAATAATAACATTTATTAATTTAAAACGAGTATTCAAAATGTGATGTATGCATATATATGTATGTATATGACGATAAACTTTGAAACGCTTAACTGTAAATCCTTGTTTACTCGAGCAGCCGTAATATGAATCGCTTTGTTCCAATACAATCTCGACGGAGTTCCAAAATCCCGTCGAATTAATTCGCCACGGTACGTTAGCGTTATGACCGTAACCTTGGTCGGGATTCCAATCACTCGTTAAACTAGACCATTTTTTACCGATCTGAAGCGCTTCTTGCCTGATGGAAATAAAACCATTCAGTTACGTTTTCATTGTGTGTTATGTATGAAGAAATATTGGATAATAAACTTACAACTTATATGGCGTTTGTCTATACAAATTATGATACGGCAAGGCGTTCAAGCTGTAACATAGACTTTTTACTACGAACGTAGGTTGCATAAATGTACACGGATTTTCGATAATTTTATCTTGCCAGCGAATTAGTTTAATAGTGTCTTGACACTTGATTGAAAATTCCTGGTGGTGGGAGGTAAATGGTTTTTATTAATACGGTATTTTCAATATTATATGTTTAATAATTATTAATTTTTAATTCAGAACATGTATAAATCCGGGTTCAGACGACGCGAATTTGATGGCTGTCACACAAAACAGCTGATTCACTGGAAACAACTGTTTCCACCAGTGATTTACAATGTGAGCGGTACCGCCCCCTTGTGGGCTTTTTTAATTATAAAGGGGCTTTTTACTTAAGGGGGTACTAAGAAGAGCGATTCTATTGTGACTTTTATTATTAAAAATAGTTCACTATTATTAAAAACAATTATATTATTATTAAAACAATATTAGCAAATTCATAACTTATTACAATGAAATGTATATCTGCATACAATAGAAAATAATTAAATATTTTATACACATTACAATAACAGCGAAATTTAGTGAAGTAACAGCGAAAGGTCCTATTTTCATACGGATATTTCCGACAAATTTGTATACTTGTATTTATTACATGAAGCTATATAATTTAGTGTGCATGCACGTTAGTTACACTTATTCGTAATTGTAATAAAATGTTCGAGCTCAAAACGTAAAGAAAATATTTATTTTTCACTTTAATTAAATGGTTGATTTTAAAAACTAAACTTTAATTTTTTTTTTTTTTAATCTATTGGGGAGGGAATGGTAAGAGTTTTTTGACAATCTAAAAGGGGCGTTGAGTAAAAAAGGTTGGGAAACCCTGGTTTAAACGGTGCTCATCCTATGCGGAAGTAAGTCAAATCAAAGTGAGCAGCGACAAAACAACTAGTTTACATGACGCGAATCAAAATAGGCTTATCGTTTTTGACGCACGTCCAGAGGCTGAGATAAGTTTACACTGATCGAATCATGTCAAATTTTAACTCACGCATTAGTTTCACATCGTGTAATTTAGCTTTTTTTTTTTTAAACTCTTTATAATTTTTTTTAGTAAATGGCAAAAACTGATAAGATTTTTTAATAATTTAATAATTTTTGTCGATTTCTGGGTTGGGAACAAGGACAAATTAATGAAAAATTTTACTCTTTAACAACAGTTTATCGTCATGTACACGTATCAATTAAACTACTCTATATTTTATTTTCTCTTCCAAATTTCTTATTAAACACGGCACACCCACTAGAAGTATCGACATTTGTTGTATAAAATGTAGAGTATAGTTACATTAACTATTAAGTTATTAACACATATTTTAATTTTAATTACAATCATTTCCATAAACATATCACCTTCAATACTTTAAAGACGATTTCGGGATTAACTGTGTCTAGTAAAGTGGTCTTGTGTTTCCAATGGCACAAGTCATATACTATGTTCAACGATTGCCACCTAAAAACAAATCGAAATTAAATTAATTTAACAAATCCATATTTTGAATATAGTCTTAATAATCGAATAATGTTATAATAGACACCTAATAAGATATTAAATTAAGATATATATGTATACAATACACATACCGTACAATACTATAATACAATATGAATGGGTAGGTATTAACCTAACCTAACTTTACCTATGTTAAGTAATATTACATTTTATAATGTGGCAATGTTAGGTTAAATATATAATAATTTGAGTACCTATCTCAGTGGCGGTCCTTGACAAATTTTAAGGGGGTGGGGGGCGAAATATTTTTCACATAAAACACAATCCTTAAAAATAGTTGTCATAAAAAAAAATAGTTTGTTCAATTTTAAAATTTATTTCATGTAATATTACAAAATAAAAATCCTTTTTCGGTTTTTTTTTGTTTTGCTAATCGGTCTATAATATTTTCATGACTTATGATTACATCTCTATAAATATGAAGTAATGCTAAGCCACTAAGTCTGGTATTCTCCATTTTTGACCTTAGCCATGTTCTACGAACGAATGAGCAAGAATAAGTTAAACATAAACAATATAACATTTTCAATGTATTATGAGTTAGGTTATTTATGATAACAGGTTCATCGTGTGCTCTGTATCACCCGAGCGGTGTGAGTATGCCGTTGGTAGAGTATGCCGTCCCCAAGTGCCCGTCACATTATCATAGCCATAACATAGAATAGGCGAAACTTAGTGTTGCAAACAAATATTAAAATCGTTGATTTTTTCTCGCTTTGTTACCACAATTATTAATCATAAAATAATGTAAAATATAGATGTATTATCAGGTTTTTGTAGTAATATAATATAGGCCAAGTGGGGGCGATTCACCCATCGCCACTCCTCCTCTCCCGTAGGACCACCACTGACTTATCCTACGCTGGCGATGAATAAATATTATTTAACGCTGCAATATTATATTTTATCGAAGTACTAACTCCTCGTCGGTTTTATTTTCTCGTGTCCAACCCAACACGGAAGCCAAGTTCATTGTGTTTGAATTAATGGGATCGTGGTGGCAAATCGTAATCGCGGGGAACGGATTTTCGGACAAGTGCCGAGGTTTGTTAATCATAAATCTGTTCACTGGAGATTCATACCACTTGAAGACAATATCCCGCGACAAAAATACACCCAACGCAAACGATCCAATCGACACGCATATCCAATACAGCCTAAAAATACAATAATAATGACAGTTAATAAAATTATGTATTGAATTTTGTTTTTAACTCACATAAGTATAATAATTTAAATCACCAAATTACATGGGATACATAATTTTATCGCGCGATATAGGAGAATCGATCATTTGTACGAATACCTATATTTAAATAAAAACATCACCACAGTGATATATTCATGCAACATTCGAATAAAAATACTACTTCTTCTTCTTCGCCTTCATTCCAACTATTTTGGGTCGACCACCTTCGTCCTAAACTTCCACTTGACCCGATCTCTTACCTCGCGTACATCAGCTGTTCTCATATCATTCTAAATCGCATCTAACTACCTCTTTCGGTATTCATTTTCTTCTCTTTTATCCTGAATTGATTTTCATTACCATTCTTACTGCTTCTCTCCTCGTGACGTGTCCAAACCATGACTGATAATTAAATATCGGATTTAATTGCATTCAAAACATACAAAAATTGTATATTAAAATTATATAATTGCACCAAAAAGTACGTAAAAATTGCTTAATAAATTGCACCATAAAAATGCAAAAGTTATATAAAAAGAATTAGATAAATATTATATTTTTTAATTAAAATTGATAATTAGATAAATTTCTAAATCGTTTTCATTAAAATTAAATCTTCTATTACTTAAAATATGTACAAAAAAAAAAAACTACGTTCTATGTCTACAATAGTTATTGGTGTATATTTAATATAATTTAATAAAGTAGTCGTTATATCTAAATTAAAATTTGCATTACCTGACATGACTTCATAGTAAAACTTTACAGTTTTATACCCTTCATATTTTTCAGTTACATACATACATTTTTATTTTATTTTTTCCCATTTGGACTAGCAATATTTGTTAAAATATTTTCAATTTTTCTAAAAATATCCATGTTTTCAGTAGCTCACTATTAGATTCTTCCAAATTTTCAAGATTCTTGGATAACTCGAGTAAGTGTAATTTTATGAATGCTAAACCATATTTGTCTGCATTATTTTATACAAGCTGTTACAGCATTTCGACACTCGTAGTATGAGTTGTTCAACTTTTAAAAATTATTTGCATAGAAAAGTGCAGTATTTTACCATGTTCCCCATATTGTAATAATAGGTTCGGGTTGTAAAGGTATACCCGGTATTTCTTTTCTGTATTTATTTATTCACGGTGGTGTTTTTAGGAAAGCTTTTTTACTGAAATAAAGGAAATAAGTTACATATGTATTTAGATTTTAAATAGGTACTTAGTTTATTACTATTGTTAATCAATTTATTAATGTCGGGATACAATTCTCGAATTTTCTCTAGAACTCTATTGAAACAAAATATGTAATTATGAATTAATTTCGGGAAAAATATTTTTGCTTTGATCATATAAGTACCAGCATCACTAATAAAAAGTAATATTTTTTGTTCAATACCAAGAAATATTTTTAACGAGGAATTAATAAACTGATAAATAGTTTCATAATTGGTGGATTCTAGTTCTTTATGTGCAACTAAATATGATTTACTAGACGTCCCATCTAATTTATCAATTAATAAATTTGCGATAGTCAAAGCTAAACGAAAATAGTATATTATATGAAAAAATAAAAAAAAAATATTTATATAAACCTCTTGGTTGTTTTGCCAATAATTATGTAAACGTAATTATTTACAATATCACTAATTACTTGGTCCATAATGCTTTTATAAATATTTGGTGTGTAATTTTTTCTTAAAGTGCTTTTATGTTTTTCCAAAAATGATTTTAACACTTGATTGGCTAACTTATACAAAGGAATATTTGCAGCAATAAATGCATTACATAAATCTTCAAAAAATAAATTTTTACTATTCGAATTGTGAGAAGTAATCAAAAACTGTTTTTTTTTCTTTATTTCTTTGTAATGCATTTATGTGTTGAACTAAAAAAAGATATACATGTATTTTTGAAATAATATGTAGTATATTACGTGTAATTTGAGCATAAAATACAAAACTTACTTGTTTTGGAATGATGATCTAATAGATATTTTGTTTCAGTAGACACAGATTTGTTACAATATATAACTTTTACATCTGATGAAAATACTTCTTTATTTTTATTGTATGGAGCAATCCAATTCAAAATTTTACTTTTTAAAGTTGATTTTATTTTAGGCATTACGTCGAATACATTCGCCGTGCGGTAAATTTTGATCAAAGAAATAGGTACTAAGGTAAACGCACACGAATCGTTGTACTACTACGTTTAATTTACTACCATAAATATATAGACGCTTATCGATCGCTGGGCTCGCCAAGCTTCTAGAAAATTCCAGACAAACGATAAACGCCTATGATTTATAAACATGGTAAAATTGCGAAAAAATGCAAAAACGTCGAAAATTGAAAAAAATTGTATTATAAAATTAATTAGGCAGAATATTTTTAGTATTTATCGGCTATATATTTAATCAGGTCTGATGTATCTTCGTTGCAAAACAAGTTGCAATGTCAAAATCCGATCTTTACTGATAATATATCAGTTAATTGTCTTCTCCACGCCTTAGCTATCTTTAAAGTACTCATTCCTTATCCTATCTTCTCTCATGGCTCCATTCATCCACCATCATTCTCATCTCTGTAACACTCATTCTCTGTTATATTTTTCTGTTTACCACTCGGCACCCAACACTCCGAATTGTACAATATTATCGGTCTTACCACTCTTTTGTAGTACTTACTTTTAAGTTCCATTCGAATTCTCTCGTCATACAAAACACCTGACGTTTCTATTTGTACGCTATCCAACCATACTTATTAGTTATTTCTATGTTTCATATACTCGTAATAACCATCGTTGTTTTGTACAAAAGATCCTAGGTAGGTACTTAAAACTGTCAACCTCGTTTATTATTACGACACCGCGTATTGTCATTAGGAATTTTATCCTGTTATTCATTTTTCATGGGACATTTTAATGATATAATAATTATACCTTACATAATTATCAAAACCAAATAAACAAATAATAATTATAATCAGTAAACTATAGTTGTTCCTAACCATAAATCATGTAGATTGTAATTAGTTTAAATTTTGAGTATTGTTTTTTAAAATTTGTTTTGTTTGTTTTTTATAAACAAAATTAGTAGTATAAAATTATAAAAATAAACTTTTATGGAGTTTATAATTATACTTACTGACAGTGATACATAAAATATTTTTACAACTCCCCATTAACAGGGACATACCCATATTTAATTATTTTCATAATTTTCCTTATCCAAACATTGAAATTTTACTATCCTTGAAATTTTGCTACCCGGAAAATGGCCCTTTTCCCTTTCTAAAATTCGCCACTGCTTGTGGGGGGTGGGTATTATTTTATATTACTCGAATGGCCAAATAAAATATCTCAAGCCCTTTTTTTAATCTATATATAAGTACCTAGTAAGTGGTCTAGAAATATAGTAAAAACTGTTGCGTTTACTATAATTTACTTACGATGAATATTTATTTTTAGTCCAAAACTTATTTCCCAAGCTCGATTGTTTGAGTACGTGTGTAAACAAAGCGGCAATTGTAAATTTGCTTTTAACTTCTCCCTCCATTTATGCGTATTTTTTCAATATTGCCCAATGATTGTCACATTAAACGTCGAACGTAATACGTTCCTATACGTTCGATAGGTAACGTTATCCCCACGTAAAACGATAAAACTAAACTGCAGTTCACGTCGTTCGCCTACAACACCTGTGTCATATATTTTTAATTTTAATCAATATATTACGTAGCCGATAATATGAATTAACTATTGAACCCCGAGGTACCCGTATCCCGTGTTAATTTAATTGTTTTACTTCTGTTTACTCATTCGGTTATCGTGACATATATCGTGTATTACGGTATCTGCAGCGATTCTCCGGGGACAGCGGAATATTGAAAACTACACGCAAGTACGCATTTTTAACGGTCGTCGTCCAACACAGGACGGGTATAATTTGTGCATAATATAGTTGTCGTGTATCGCGCTTAAAAATGTATTGTTTTTTTTTTTTTTCCCATCAACTATAATAATATAATATAGTAACGTTATTCACGGCGCTTTTCCACTAATTACATACTGTAGCCGTAAATTATTATAGTCGTGTGTTTTTTTTTTTTCATTCCCAACAATGTTTTATAATAATATCACCGTTGTAAAACACATTGCGGTAATTAAGTTATTTGTAAATTTCGTAAAATTAACGATACACTCCGACATTGTACCGTACCTAAACACAATAATTCAGATGAAAAGAAATTAGGTCACAATCAAAACGTGTAAAATTAGTGCCATAGTAGTAAAGTCGTGCATCATCAATTAATATCATGTAAAAATTAGAGTCGGACGATACCATTAACATGTCGATACACGTAACGCCTTTGTTTAAAAAATAATACGAACATCCATAATGTAGGTATTAACCATGAATATTATTTTATTACACGTTAAAAAAAATATACATTTTTCCGATCTAATCTATTTGAAAACGACGTGATTATCACGTTATTACTTTTTTAGCATAACAAAATATCGAAATCTATATCGAAAATTCACCTCGATCTCGGTATTCGATATTCAATACACTGTTATAAGTATCAACTGGGTAAGATCCTAGAGATTACAGTGACCTCGGTTAAGTTGACGCCTACTGGTATTATTAATTAGTAACCCTAGTTACCTATACTGACGAAGTAAATTACAACTGTTTGTGTTTTTTACTGACTATCGTGAATTATAACTTCAAACCTGTATCATAATTATTTGTCTACGGCATTACGTTCCTCTTTTTGTTTTTCCACATAGTACAGCTTACAATAAGTCTCGTATCAACTTATTTAGCATTTCGATTAACTATCCACATTTTATAAATCCACATAAAACCCTAAAAGTTTCCGAAAATTTGAGATAGGTATTAATATCTCAATAATGCAAGAACATTTTAAAAATTATACCACGTCTAGAATTCAGTACAAATTTCAGTTCTTTATGATTATTTAAAAAAAAAATGTTATATAAAAAAACAAATTATTTTAACAAAAACCATATCATATTTCCTTTTAACCGATGTTTTTCTCCGGGAACCCCCCCCCCTCTATCATTAAGGAAATTATCACAAGAAAAACAATAACTTTCACAATACACTAAATAAACAAAATCTTCTGTTAGAAACCACTAATGGAGTTGAGAGTGAGCTTTCTAAGCAAAAACGCATAGAAAAACGTTTTAATATTATCAATACAAAACACTAAAGTACAATTTTATAACCATATTACGTTTCTCCATTTTTATGGCCCGTAAACATAGTTCGCTGAATATCGTTTAGTGAAGTTTAACACTTTATTACTTATTTCAGTAATACTAAGTAAGACAAATAAAAATGTTTGTTCGTTTGTGGAATTGTTTGAAACTTTGAACTCAGACCTGCATTTCGATTTTTTACTGTCTATTTCCTACCTATAACCTACCTACTAGGAATTATAACTAAACCACAGTGTCATTTATACAGTCACGAATCTTTGATATGTAAACACTTTCTTCTCTCATATTTTTTTAGAAGTAAAACTTCTTCTTTGAAGGTATAGGCGTAGGATTTGAAGCGTCATGAAATAATACCACCCTTTAGAGTACACTTATCCTGTGCCAAACCCTAACACGAAAATACTCTCCTCACCCGCCTCCTACAACGTTGATAAAAATTATGGTCAAAGCAGATATGAGCGTTATGAAATCATGCCATCACCCTAAAAACTTTACATACCCTGTACCCCACTCCAATACTACTACACCTTACCATTCACTCTCCTCTATCCCAAACGATTATGCTTAAGACAAACCAGTCACGAAATGGCACCACTCTTTAAAGTATACTCAATTACAAAACCAATAAATAAGTTATTTAATATAACCCGTGCATCTACCTCCTCTATATTATGGTAAAGTATACTATATATGTTTATACCGAATCCTGCCACCATCCAATCACCTCCTCTCCTAAAATCATAGTCTATTAGTATTATTATCGTTATCAAAAATTTATTTTTAGAAATCTAATAAGCTAAGAATTAATGCGTGGCACGTTGAATTGCGTACGTGCACGTCGATCGGGGCGTGATGTCCAGACGATTGTCGGTCTTTGTGTCAGTGTCACGTGCCAAAGGAAAAATTGGACGGCACGTTGGTTTTGCAGAGTTTTGATTTTGTTTGTACCATTACCGTGTTCTTATTAATCTGGTTTATATTATAAATGGTTAGGTTATGTTACTTGTCGTCTTTTTGTCATTCTTATTTATTAAAATTTAACAATTTAAAAATTAGCAAAGCGTATGCTGCACAATTGACTATTTCAATTTCTCGTCCATTTAAATTTTAAATAATATAATATATTTACGATCGGTTTAAGGAGGTGTCTGGTAGAGGCCATAGTCTCCGGGCCACCAGACTCCCAGGGCCTCAGTTTTTGCCACAGTATGTTACTATGTTCTTTATGTATGCATTTAACCGTTAAATTTGTACTTTGACACTTTAATATTTTTTCGTTGTCTGATGTTGACCTAGTCGTATTATTATATAGTAGAAACTACTAAGGATTCTGTTAAAAATATAACAATATATTTATTTATTTAAATAATACTTGCGGCTTTTGAATCGAGATCTTTATGATGTCTATAATACTATTTATTATTTTGCTTTTGTTAAAACGTGTTGATAACCGAATATTTTAAAAATTGTACATTATTAGTCTTTTAACGAGAGATTCGTTTAAAAGATTAACCCTGAATTCTTTAAATGTCAAAACCCGGGCTTAACGCCGTAATGTTTTATATAAATATTAACGGAAGTATAAGAGAATGTTCTGTCGATATGTTTACGTTGGTACAATGTGTAATCCTGGTATGTATGTAACGGTTTTTTACACTGTGAGAAGGATAAAACACTGCGAAAAAGCTGATTGGGTTTTTTTTTGGGGGGGGGGGGGGGGATGCTAATTTAAAACGTGTAGGTGCTAAATATCCCCAAAACACCCCTCTAGTTTCTCATACCTACCTCTCGAAAATACTGACGGGAACACCGCTGACATCAAGTACTTTATTACAATATCATTTATGTTGTCCGATAAGAACAATATAATACCTATTATCAGTTATCACTATAATGTCCGCGAGCCGCTGCCACGGCCGTCAACTTTCATCGACGTTCAACATTAGTTTACATTGTTATAAATAAATATTATCCGTATAACATTGTGTTTTATTATATACCCATACACGAAATCCTTGACTAAATTGACCTTATTTTCTCTCCCGTCATCATATTATTATTATAATATAGACCCGCGGAATGTAATTTAATGCATAGTAATATCAATATAATAAAGAGTAGCTAGGTGTATAATAATAACGATAATATTATTATGCGCGCGTATACATGATTTATAATAATCCGTAAAAAACTAATAAAAAAAAAAAAAAATGCGAATTTTTATCATAAACGCGTTTCTGTGTCTAATAATAATAATATGATACATACTGCTCACGTTATATTATAACAACTCGTAGGTATGACGACGACGACGATGGTTAAATGGGTACCGATCGATAGACGTGAGACGTCAACACCTACGAATACAGTATACAGGGGTATAAATCAGTTACAGTCGATCAATTACACCAATTGGGATGCATTATACCTGTATATATTGGTATTTTATTCCTTTTGACTATCGGTTCTTAAAAAATTTGAATTAATATTTGTTTTTGTATAGGTGTAAGTGTGTACACGGGTAATATTATACTTTTGTACGGACACACAATAGAATATTGTTATGTTTGTCTAGGGATTGATATTAAAAAAAAAAAAAATAATAAAAAAAAAAAAATACATTCCTACGCTGAATCATTTTTCGTTTCGCGATATCGCAATGTATAATATTATGATATCGGTATTGTAATAGATTGCAATTTAATTAATTTAATTGAACTGGTACGCACATAGGTTTCTCGTATATTTATCCGGCGGCGAATCTAATCGGTATCATTCATTCGGTTTTATACCGGGCTTATTTTACCATGCGCGTTTGAATAGGTTCGTGAGTAGTCCTAAACGAAAAACGCACGGCAGTAATAATTCGTATTTCTCAATATTGATCCGTAGGGGCACCGCGGGGCCTAAAATGCATTCGATTTCAGAAGACACGCGCCTTTTTTTTTAGCTCGACGATAGAAACGGTAGATTTCCATAGAAAAAAACCTGCTTGTAGGAGGAGGGGGGGGCGTAACTCTTTATAATACTACACGTTGGTCGATTGTTTGTCAGCTTTACTGTTATTTCTACAATTATAACTGATATCTAGTTACACGTTAAAAAACTTGGTACACACATTTGTTATTCAGGGGACACACTATTTTAGGCTCTGAATTAGGTGGTAGTATAACAACTACAACATTGTTCTAGTCGCTAGTAGTGTACGGTTTTTATTAATCGTGGTGACCATGAAATGTACAAAACAACGGTAAAGCGGAACAAGCGGCGTGCCATAAAGGGGGGGGGGTGGTATTAAAGGTTAGGTATCATCTCTTCCCCCTCATCCCAGCAGCTTAAAAAATACAACTGCGAGTGATCATTTGGTGAT